GCCTCGAGTTTTGGTAGCCGGTGATTCGATGGTGAAATACTTGCCCCAGTACTTCCCATTGAATGGTCGGTTGGCTGTTGAGGTTGCGCCGTTTAATAATAATAATAATAATAATATTTATTTGCATACAAAAAATCTGATCCTGAGTGGCGTGCACGGCTGTGCAGAAAGGTTAAAACCCGTACGCGAGTGCGCCTGCCAGCCCGCCACCCAGGATTTGAAAAAAATTTAAAAAAAAACATGCACACGTATACCAAATTTGTACACAGGGCCGTAACCCAAAATGTTTTAAAAGAAAAATGAGGGTGAAATGTAGAGAGTAAGTTGACTCACAAACACACACTACACTACACCACTGTTATGACGCCTGCTGCTGTAGGTGCTTTGAAAACAAGCGACACATCGACACACATTCAGTACTGTCCTGGGGAAGCGGCGAACGTATCCTGAGCGGGGCCGAGATGAAGTCCTCGATGCCGGCTAAAATCGGCGAGGAACTGTGGTGTTTGGTACGCGCTCGAATAAGTTCAGGCTGTCCCGATCTCTTGTTAATCCTTGGGATGGTCGCAAGGTACGTCCCTTTGAGCGAGCCATCGAGAAGTCGGCAGGTAAGGCCCACCCTGGCGACTCTTCTCCGATGAGCCAAAGAATGCCATTTGAGATCCTTAAGCCGACTGGCGTAGGGCAACGCAGGATTGTGTTGGGCGAGTAAAGTATGTCTGAGTAGCACGCCGCTGCACGCTTTCCAGGCTGTCAACCAAATTAGTTTGATGTGGGCACCACACTGCACTGCAGTACTCGAGATGCGGAAGAATGAGCACGGTGTATAGTACACGGAAGGTGGTAGGACCGCACGCTTTGGAAACTCGAGTCACGAATCCCAAAAGATGTCGGGCCTTGGCAACAGCATTGGCAACGTGCGGAGAGAATGTTAAGTTAGGGGTAAACGTCACACCCAGAATTGGTAATGATGTGACCGATGTAAGAGGTATTGCAGACACGGTGTACAAAGGGGCTCCTGAGCTGCGGCTGTGACTGACCCGCATGACTTCACACTTGGATGGGTTAAGAAGGCAGTTTGAGACGGACTACTGCTGCACTATAGACAGGTTCCGCTGAAGGTTGGGACAGCTTGCGTGAGGTGTAGTTCGTGCAAGCAGAGTGATGTCGTCAGCATATTGGACTATCTGCGTGTCGATAGATTGGGAAAGATCGTTGGTGTACGTGGAAAACAGAGTAGGGCCAAGGATGGACCCCTGAGGTACCCCTGCTGAGACGGCGAAACTCTCGGAACGGGATCCTTGGAAGAGGACCTGGTGTGTGCGGCCAGTAAGGAACCGAGCTAACCACCGAAGCAAAGGACCACGGACGCCTGCCCTTCCTAGTTTCCGAAGTAGTATAGCATGGTTCAGCGTGTCAAACGCATTGCTAAAATCTAGTTGCACCATATCAGTCGAAATACCACGGTCAAGGTTGTCACTGACGTAGTGCATGATCGTAGCCAGTGCTGTTTCACAGCTCCTGTTCTTCCTGAAGCCGTGCTGTGTGGGAGAAAGGACGTTGTTTTTCTCGTAGAATTCAAGCAGTTTACTGTTGATCATGCGCTCAAACGTCCGACACAGTATAGACGTGATGGACACAGGGCGGTAGTTGCATGCAGAGTATGTTGATTTTCCTCTGCCCTTGTGAATGGGGGAGATGAAAGCCCGCTTCCATGTGTCCGGAACAAAAGCATTGTCTGCAAATGATTGCAGCATGTTCAGCAGGGGATGCGAGATGAGAGGGTAAAGCAGCTTGAGCAAGGTGGTCAGGCAAGGAGCGTGATGACTTGAGGCGTTCAATGGCACTTTGTAGATCCTCAGGAGAAAACAATGGTGGAGAGTACAGTGGTGGGGCAGATGGTGCTTGCTTCCACTTCATCAACAAGCGCGTCTACATCGAGGTCACCTGAGTGGCTACCGTAGACCGACGAGAACTGTGTGGCGAAGAGTTGGGCAATATCTCGGGGAGCCGTATTAGAATCGAGCACTTGTTTTCCCAGGTGTCTGAGAGGCTACCCGATTTTGATGTTGTCATCCTGCACGTTGGCACTAATAATTCCCATGTTAGTGCCAGCGTGTACATCGAAAAATATTTTCGTCTAGCTGCCCAGATCTGTGAACGCAATCCAATTATGCAGATCGCCTTTTCTGCCGTTCTTCGGAGACGGGAGAATAGGCTCTGCTCATTGGAATGGCAGCGTAGTCACGCTGCAGAGATCGAGGCTTTGAATGACCCTTACCGAGAGGTGAACTCGCTGCTGCGAGAGTTGTGTCACAGGGAAGGGTTCACGTTCCTTGACGGGCTGGCTGACGAGCGGCACCAGTGGATCGGCCGCGACGGCGTCCACCCAAGCCGGATCGGCAACAAGGTATGCACACATGCGTTATGTCGCTGCACTAAAGAGCGCGAATATAGGGCGGCAACGATTGCAAAGCTCGCCGTAAAGAGGGGAACTGAAAATTGACCCACGCACGCGGCGAGCTAAATTACTGGTTGGATTCAACTGGTTGACAGAACGGTGCCAACTCCAGCAACGAAACACGGCACAACTTGGAAGGTTGACCAGTCTTTATTGTCAAAAACCGAGAATGAAAATAAATAGGTTCGGTGACGTCCACGTTTCCGGGTTGAAGGAAGCACAGCGTAGCTCTAAGGACCGCTTCAGTTGCCTCGTTAGCTAATTGCGACGATTGAATCGCCCTTTCAGAGCCAGTATTCGTGCGAGGTGAAAGATTAGCCGCTCGCGTCTGTCATCATCCGTGACGACGTCCCTAGCTTCTCTCCATCGCGTGAAGAAAGGTGCTCACCCGTGTTTCCGCGTTGCGCTGGTGAAGTCCTGATAGGATGCGGTTGCGCTCCCACCTTACAATCAAACAATTCCAATTGCTTGTGTCACAACAGCTGCCAGTTCGGGTAGACTTTCCGCCATTTTTATCATTGTGCCCTCCGCGGCTGTTTTCTCTTCCGTCTGGTTTTTCCTTGGGTGCCCTCCGGTCGCAGAACTGCATCTTTCTGCCCTCGAAGTTCACCGTTGGGTCGCAAGAAGCGCAGATATGGTTTTGACATTTTCATAATGACACGTTTATCAATACACCAACTTCGGCGATGTTTCCCTTCTCTACTGACCACTGGATGGATGGATGGATGAATCCGGCTGAGCCCTTTGGATCGGGCGGTAGCTTACGCCACCTAGCCACTTTGTTTTACCATTTAAGCTTAAAATATTTAAATGTGAAAGCTATATTCACTGTGCATTGCAAAGAAAGTGAGGCTATAAAATACCCTTGCCATCAGTTAATAAGAAAATACCTAGTTTTCTCGCTTTCTGCCACCATTCACTTAATCTTTGCTTGGTAATCTCTACTGTCTTGAAATCCACTGTTCCTTCGCTGTTTCTAAAACCCAATGACTTTATTTAATGTATGTTCTCTTCGGTCGGCATAGAGTAAAGCCCTTTACAGCAGAGTATCAAGTGCTCAGCCGTCTCGTCCTCCTCTCCACAAGCAGTGCATTTTGTATCCATTTCCTGGTACTTCGCTTTGTGTGTTCTGGTTTGTAGTACACCCGTCCTTGCCTCAAACAATGAGCTTTCCCTAGAATGGTCATAAATGCTTTCTTTGGCAATAACTGTTTTGTTTAATTTATAGTTTTCCAGAGCCGTCTTTGTCTGCATTCCCTCTAGCCACCAATCTCTTTCTGTGGCCTTCACTGACACCTGCTCTTCCTAAGTCCACTATAGCCTAAAAACTGTCCTCCTAACTCCCTAGTGCACTGTCTCCACTTTGTATCTATACTCCTCATGTATAAATAGCTGAAAACCTTTTGTGCCCATTGCCACCCATCCATTTGCCTCAACCAATCCTCAAATTCTATCTTGCTCACCTCTTCCCTGCTCCCAAATGACGCCCATCCCATGTCTCCTTGTACTAGCTCCCTGGTTTGGTGTTTTGCAATGTGTCCCCAAAGCCAGCCTACCTACTCTGCACTGTTGTATTTCTAGTCTTGCATGCACTTCGGATTTCACGCGTAGCACTGCATTTCCAAAAGTCAAGCCAGGCACCATGACCCCCTTTCTAAATCTCTCTCACCACCTCATACCTGTTATAATTTCAAAGTGCTCTATTTTTCATTACAGCTGCATTTCTGTTGCCCTTACCTATTATATACTTTTCATGCTCACTGAGATATTCTGCACCATTACATATCCATACTCCTAGATACTTGTCTTTACTAGCTCTCTCAGCTTTAATATTCTGTACCTTCAGCCTTTTAACTTCATCATCGTTAAAAATCATGATTGGTGATTTTTCACTGCGTCACATGTGCCATGTGTCAACAACGCGTAAAACTAATCCGCATGCGTGTCACAACGACCTGCTGGGTCCGATTAAAAAAAAAAAAGGAGTAGGTCTTTGCTTCAATGCTTAATACATTTTTATACATGTACATAAATGTTGATTTAAGTAAATATTTTTATGCCAGGTTTATCTATTTCTGTAAATCTATATATTTAAGTTTTTTTTCCTTCACTAGCAAAGATCAATACACCCCCATCTTGTCGAAATGGACACGGCATGTGAACCCCAACAGGGAATGGGAAAACAATTGAAACTTCCCCTGGGAATCCCTCCAACCAGTTAACTCCTTAACTGGTCCCAGTTACCCCTACCCATTCCCCATCTGGGCATAGTCAAGCCATTTGACCCCTCAGCTAGTCCCAGTTGGACTCCTATTGGTAACAGCCAATTCCGACTTGGGACCAGTTAGTTCCAATTGTAACCAGTCGAGATGCCAACCGGTCCCAGTTAGACGTTTTGGCATAGGTGCCTTGTATGTAAAGCTAAAGGCGCAGCCCCTTTTCTCTGAAATCTTCAAGGCAACATCTTTAACAATTTGAACGAGTGAAGTGACTGCAGCTGACAATCAGCTTTGGTGCTAATGTCAAGTACCGTGTGCAGGTCCTCGCTGGGTTCATGGGCCAGCAAGTACGGAGCATTCTGGAGAAGATGGCCAGGGCCAAGATCCAGCAGGACCACAAGGAGGCAATGCCAGGGACCCGCTCGTGGGACGGCTGGACCATCAAGGGTGCCCCATTGACCGCACCATGTTGTCTCTTCAGAATTCTCTGACTTTTCCAGCAAAGTTTTGTTAATCTGACGACATAGTCTTTTTAAGAGGCTGGGGATATTATAGCAAAAATTTTGTGGGCCTCACATCTGGTAACAAGAAGGCTCCAAAAACAAGGCCCCTTGAAAACTGAGCAGGTTGCTACTTGTGTAAATTGGCTCTGAAGAAACCAACAACTAGGCGCTGCACAGTCCGATGATTCTTTCCGAGTCTGAAGTGGTTCGAGGAAATCGGAATTTTCTGTTACAGTCATGTCTCGTTAATATGGACCCCGTTAATTGGGACACCCCGCAATATGGACGAAATTTTCGGCGACCGGTCTCCCGCCATGCAATTCTGTCCCGTTAATACAGAAACCCGCAGTCCGGACTATGGTTGGCTATTTTGGGGACGAAACGGGAAAATACAGGCATTTTTGTCTCGTTAATATGGACACATGTCCACGAAAAAAAAATGTTAGTGACCCCAGTGTGTACTACTCGGAATTCACCATTGCCTTTTTGTTCCCCGTCTGGTTACTTTGAAGGCGAGTCCACATACCCGACAGAAGAAAAGGTTAGTGAATCGTAGAGGTCACAGTTTGTACCCGGAATTCACTATTGTCCTCTGCCCTTGAGATAAGACCTGCGCGCCTGAAGGTGGTCGTTTTTTTTTTTGTTTCGTGTCTTTCAAGCTTAAACGTATGCCATCTCCTTCCGGGTTGGCATACGTGATGAATCACATTCGTTGTGCATAAGAGGCAAGAGGCAAGGCTGGACGCTTCTCCGGTCATTTCGGAGGTGGAGACGATGACAGGTGTTAAGCATAAACGGACAGAGCTTTCTGCTCAGCTGAAAAAGGAGATATGCAAATTCAAAATTGAAACGCCTTCAGCGTCTGTTCAGTACGTGAAAGAGTGGAGTGGAAAAAACCTTGGCGTTGATCTCGGAAAATCGACAGTCCACGCAATTCTAAAAGAATCAAAGAAATGGATGAGCATTCCCACAGCCAGCTCCAGTTCCTGCCGGCAGCGACCCCCAAAGTTTGAGAAGTTGGAGGAGGCCGTCAACATCTGGTTTGCGGAAATGCGCTCCAGAGGGGCCGCCGTCAGCGACGAGATGCTGCAAGAAAAGCCGAAGGAGTTCGGCACAACGATGGGTAAGTGGGTTCTGAGCGTATCTTTTTAAGCACTGAGTTTGAAAATGTTTTCTCAAAATGTTACGCATTCCTCCCCAAAAATGTTGTTTCTTCTAATGATTTTTCTAGTTGCTCGTTCTTGTGCAATTACGCATCTACGTTAAAATAACTGTTCTCTCTTCAGTAGTTTTATTTTAATGTCTGCAATCTTCACGTCTTTATGCAGACATTCATGACCTGAACTACTCAAGGGGTTGGCTCAGCAGGTTCAAGCCACCATATTCATGGAGAGAGTGGAAGCGTGGATACAGCCGCCATTGCCAGTGCTCGGAAACAGCTTGCGGAATTTCTTGCTCAGTATTCTCCAGATGATATTTACAACTTCGACGAGACTGGCTTTTTTTACAAGTTTGGCCCATCTTCGACTCTGGCATCCGAACCTGTGGCTGGAAACAAGCGAAGCAAAGAGAGAATCACGGTGGGATTCTTGTGCAACGCGAGCGGCACCCACAAGTGGAAGCCCATTGTCGTGGCAAAAGCGGAGCGACCACAATGTTTTGGAAAGACATTTGACCCGAACATGTATTGCTCTTACAATTGCAACAAGAAAGCATGGATGACAGGAAAGATATTTGAAATCTTCTTGGCAAAATTCGACCGCTTCTTGAAGGCTGAGGAGAGGAGGGCTGTTTTGTTGGTTGATAACGCATCATGCCATTCTGTTCGTGTGGACCATGAAAACCTTACCTTGAAGTTCTTTCCACCCAACATGACTGCCAAAATACAGCCCTTGGATGCAGGAATTATTCGCGCGGTTAAGGCACAGTACAGAGGTGAACTTGTGCGGCACTACATCGCTTGCGCGGAAGACAACGAACTGCAAACTGTTGACTTGAGGTGGTGCCTTCAAAAGCTGAGAAGGGCGTGGGACGCGGTGAGGTCTCAAACCATTGTGAACTGCTGGCGTCACGCAGGTATTCTTGTTAACAGCTCTGCTATGGAGGTGGAGGATCCGATGAATGAACTTCCGCTCGCGGCCCTTCATGAAGCTCTTCGACAACTCGGGGAGAAAAACCCAGACGAAGAGGCATCGGCATTCTTGGATATAGACGAAGAGACTAACAGCTGGGAGCCTATGAGCGACGAGCAGATCATGGAGCTTGTCGGTGAATCCGCTCAACAGGGCCATCAACTTGTCGAAAACTTTGCGCCGACAGAAACAGACGATGAAGAAGAGACACCAACCGTTACTCGATGTGAAGCTCGCCGTGGCTTGGAGACAGCGATCGCCTACCTTGAGCAGGAGGGGGACGGAGAACGTGCACTTCAAGTGGCCGAAGTGTTGCGCTTTTTGGACTCTAAAATGGGATCGAAAGCGCCAGTGCAAACTCATATCTCCTCGTTCTTTGGCGAAATAAACAATGCTTTTTTTTAACAATTATTACCTAATGTTTGTGTTTTTGACCTTGATTCATTATTATGGACGATTCACATTATGGACAATTTTTCTGGGGAACGGAGGCGTCCATATTAATGAGACATGACTGTATAATGTGAATAAACTGTTCTGCATTACAAATCGATTTTGGTGTTGTTTACTTACATTTGGTGGGGTGCCAATTTGTCTTATACCTTAGTAGTTACATCAACACACTGCATTTGATATCAATCCTGCCCCAACAATAGCTATCGCACATGGGCCCCTTTTTTCCTTTTTGATCACTCCACAAATAATGCCCGGTGCTTTTCTGCGTGCACCAGAGCAACGTAAGAAAGCTAACTGCGAGAGCACTGGCATTTCTCCGCAGCGTGGAGAAGGTTACCAAAAAAAGAGCTGGTGCTTTTCACATGCACTGGTGCGATGTGGGAAAACTTACAGCGAGAGCACGAGTGCTTCTCCGCGTGTACTGGTGCAACAAGGAAAAGCTTAACACGAGAGCATTGTCGCTAAGTATTAAGCTTGATACTAGCATTGTATTGAGAACACCACAGTTTGCAGAGACATGGTTCATTACTCCGACAAGCTGGAAGTGCGCTGTGGAGGCATTTGTTTACAGCATTTTCAAAAAAAATTTGTTTTACTGTCGAAGGATGTATGGCCATATCAGTAGATTATACAAAAACTTTCCAACACAAAGAATGGAAAGAAACTACAGTGGAGGGGGATTGGTGGCTGTGTGGTCTAGCGTACACCAGCTCGGAGCACGTGGAGCGAAATCTCGCGCTGCAGAACCCAGGGATTCTAGGTTCGAGCACCACCCCTGCCCGTTTCGATCTGAATGAGCATCGTACCGGCGTGCGGTCGTGTATCACTACTGCGTGGTGCACGTTAAAGACCCCAGGCTAGCGGTTGTACTGCACCGGCTAAATTGCTCATCTACAGCTGGGAGACTCGTCGCCCCTGTGAGGCAGACCAAGTTTTAGGCTGTATAAACACACACACAACCCAATTATATTAAACTACAGTGGACTGCTTCCTTCAACCAGCAATGACAGTAATGAATTTTGTTGCTGGTTGGAATAAGTAGTAGTCGTCTGGAGTTAGTATTCTATTCCTTTTGTGTCCAAAAGTTTGAAACCAACACTTTATTCTTATTTTTGTGCTAATCCTTAAATGAATGCTTTTCAGAGGCTGCTGGCCCAGATAGCTAAAAATTTCTTTGTTTGCATTGTTTGGCCAAGCATCACAGCTACCAGACAACTGGGTTCTAGTTGCCTGGTAGAAAAGCTGCTTTTCTACCAGGCAACTGCACGTGCCGTCTCGATTTTCTTTCTTGAATGGCATGGGATTGGGCCTGGGTGCCATACTGCAGGAAACAAATGATCCGGAGCCCAGGTAGCACTTCCACAAGATGCAAGGAAATTCCTTTTATTGGGAGTGACAATAATAGACATTAATATTTGGCTCACAAATTCATTGCCTTGGTCGACACGGGAGCCACAAATTCCTGCACATCACATGTAGAGTAATTACTACGGGCAACAAACTCTTATTGCACATGGGTAATAGCAAATAGTTACAGCCTATGCGATGTGGAATGATGTTACTGCTTCTTGCAGGCATGTCCACCCTATTTAAAGAAGGAGTCTGTGAAGATGTCCACCGATGCCCTTGTAAACAATTACAGGCAAACTAGAGCTGAACTGTTTCATGTTCCTTCATGTGTAACCAGACATTTCGTATGCTTTTATGCGTGCTCACTGTGCAATACCTCACGTCTCTCGGATTCAGTCATATGATGCCATCGCTCCACCTCACCTTTATATATCTGCATCTGTTGCAATGTACCGTTGCCATTTGGATAATCTTACATTTATTTGTTTGTTAACTTTATGTGTGTTTAGGATTTTTTTTGTTTGCTGGTTTTATTGTTTGTTTTGATGCACCACAGGGCATCCAAGATAAAGACTGATGGCACCCATAATAAAGATGATTATTATTATAAACCTGTTGCTGACCCTCCTAATTCGAGGGCCACAAATGACAGCCCTTTTTTGCCAGCACTATCTACTATCGCTGTAGCGGTGCCGAATCGTTATTGGCAAGGAAAGTGGTGTAACATAATTCCTCGTGTCTCTGCGGTACAAGGCAGCGTTTGCCTTTGCCTGATTGACACGTACACAGAGTCGCAAATACTTTTCCAGAAGCTCTTGTCTCCACTATAATCAACTATATAAAGAACATGACATTGCCACTCTTTCTGAGCATTTGTGCTACCCACTTGTCTACACACTTGAAGCATAAAAGCAGCAATATTACAATATTCGTAAGTTAGCTATAAAAAAATTAAACAGTTTGGTTCCTGCATGGGACATCCTGATTCAATCGACTTATAGATTCAGTGTCCATCCGATCGACTCCAGAAAAGCAGACCGTACCGAATTTTACCTGCAGAGTGCAAAGTTATCTAATAGTATATCAACAAAATGTTGGAAAAATATTGTTCAGCCCATCTTCATCCCTTGGCCATCCCCCATTGCCCTCGTATAAACAATTGAGGGCTCAATGTCGCATGCTGCAAATGAAATGATTGGCAGTGGTTATGCACTGACACACATATCGACAGGGTGGAGGATAAAAAACAAGTTGATTTAAATCGAAATCATGATTTAGACCACAACTTTAATCATGCAGGTAAATTACTTCTAAAATGAAATTTAATTACAATTACTTTGCTCCAAAAGTAGTTTAACTACAGTTACAATTAGTACTACCTGAGAAATAATTCATTGCAATTACAAATTACTTTGCTGATGACATCATCAGTGATGATGACAGTGCGGATGTCGGTGACGTCATCAGTGACGTCACTGATGTCGTCATCAGTGATGATGATGCAAGTATTTCTGGTTGGCACCGAAAATCCTTGCAAAAGTAATTGTAATTATGCCTCAAAGTTTGTAATTACTGATGCTAGAAAGCAAATAAAGTACAATTGCAACTCCTTTTAGCAAAAGGTAATAAATTACAAATTACCAGAAAAGTGATTAAATTACAGTAATTTAATTACTGTAATTGAATGACTACCCAAGTATGATTTGAATACCGATGTTTCAAATCAAACATTTTGATATAAGATATTTTTAAAAAAACACATTAATTTTACCACTGGAACCTCAACTATTTTATTGTTTTCAGGTGTATTTATCTTTCATTCCATGTAAAATAATTATCAAGTAATATTGATATCGGGATAACGAGCAAATATAAGACTTCTTCCAGGCACAAGTAAATTGTAGAATTGAACGCTCTCTCTACTTTTCAGCTCGTTTTTCAGGTATAGCAAAACAAGGGAAAGGGTAGAGTCAACAAAAGAACTGCGTGCGTGAACAAGCATACAAACTCAAATACCAGCAGAGAGAGGTATAGTATCAGGCAGACAGACTAAAGTATATGTCTCTGCTTGATCTTGCATATTCTAGTGTATTTATTATTTTCAGAGAAATTATATTTCTCTCAAAAAATTATTTTGAGAAAACAGTTTAAATCTAATCAATGATTTTTTCTTTTTTTTTTAATTTCGCCAGTGAGAAATCTGTAATTTCGTTAGTTATAAAGTCATGTTCAGTCAATCAATGTGGCCTATTGCCATAAGTGCTCTTCGGAGGATGAGATTCGCGCATGGATTTCTTGCAGTAAATGTAGATAATGAAGAAGTATTTCTAGGTCACTTTTCCGCAGTACACAACTTCGTAAGGTGAAGCGCACTTGCGGGTTTTTTGCTTTCCTGCAAAACTCTGTGTTTCAGGGAGAAGCACGCTTATGGAACGTTAGGTCTACTGCTTTCCCATCTTACTGCAACTGACAAGTACATTTGCTGGTTCTGCGCTTTCCCACAAGGAAAATACGTGCAAGGGGAAGCGCACTTGCGAGTTACTTGGTACCCTGGAAGGGGGAAACCCTCCTTCCAGGGTACAAGCTCTTTTCTGCATTTCAAACTGTTCCACAAGGCACATTCTCGTAGAAAGAACCGCTTTTGCGGGTCGCGCTATTCTGGATAGCATGCGTTTCTAATTAGAAGCACGCTTGTGGGCTTTTTACTGTACAGATGTCATAGAAAAATGTCCTTCCAGGGGCAAGCAGACTTCCAAGTTAATTGTATTTGTTCCTTGAAACCTCCACTTCAGCAATGTTGCTATTGTGATGAAGCACATGTTTCCTCCCAATTATAAGGTTAGTACAAATAAATGGTATACAAAACACGTCTTAGCTTCAGACAAAACTCTGTACTCAGCATACAATGTGTATGTAAAAGAAAACACATGGTGGTATAGATTTGAATGATTAAATCAATATAAAACAGTAATAATAAAAACTTTGTGGTGAGGAACACTTCTAATGTTAAAATGTAAAGTTGCATAAGTAACAATGTACTAGAATAATGCTTTCTTTTTATTTCTTGCCTGTTTAATAGTTCCTACACTTGGAGAGTTCATTTAATAATTAATAATCGCCACAATTCAGTACCATCTAACCTCTTAAACAATAATTACATTCAGGAAGTCATCTCCAGCTATCCCATACTCACCAGTTCAATCGATCATTCCCTTGCACAGACACATAAGCTACCCTAGCTCGCATGGGACTCCAGCTCGACTGACGCAGGCTTTGCCCTTTCATACCTAATTTTTTTTTTAATAATCATACAAAATTTAAGGTTTCACCAGCAAATTTTAATGAGAAGGAGATGGTGGTCTTTGTGTGAAATATGATTAATAAATGAAAGATTGTGGAGGGAGGTAAAAAGAAAGGATCAACCAATTTATGGGGGGATAGAGCTAAAAGAGATGGAAGAATAAGCAGAGAAGGTGCTTGGCCCCACCGCTTCATGAATTCTTTCAGAGGGGTCAAATGATGGTGTTCCCTTCAGTCATAATCTCAGACATAATCTCCTACACCCGCTGTAAATGGTTTGGCTCTTCGCCTATCATCTGTG